ATACAGACTCGTTCACTGACTAGTTTGTCACACAGAACTTCAGGCTTGGTGCCTTGGTCAGTTCAGCAGCTGCTTTGTTGCCTAGCCAGGTGGTGGAAAAAATTATCCTTACCCTGGATGTTCTTTTGGCCTAGATGAGAGAGTGTAACTTGTGAAAAGTTGCTTGGTGCAGCTAGAATTCACATTTGATAGACTGGGTGCTTTACTCCCTGCTTAGTTAAAACAGTTGGCTGTGACTAGAACAAAGCTTAGACTCTAAACACCAGTGAAAGCAGCAGGAGTATAAAGGTGTTTCTGGATCAGCTCTATAGGTACCTACATCCCAGGTGTGGGGCCTGATTTCTCTCAAAATCTGTACACCCCAGCCGCAGCTGTCCCACTGTTTTTAAGTCACAGAGTTGATATTTTGAACTTTGTCTTTTTCTCTAAATCCTGCAGATGGAAGTTATCTGCTGCAACAGACCTGACTTCTGTTTTTTTTCTGATTGTTAATTTTTTAAGTCCCCAATCATACTGGCTGATATTAGAACATCTCCAGGTCACCGTGGTCTCCAAACAAGAATAAATAAGATGGCTGTCTCATTGAAACGGTTCTCAAGAAGAGACAAACCCTCACCAAGATAGCTAGTGGGAGGCTGCTTCTGAAATTGCAAGGCATGCCTTATTGGCCAGTGTAGGAGTGAGCCTGACCTGGAGTTCTCAAAGATGGCAAAAGTCAGGTAGAAAGGGGATACAGTTCCTGCAGTCTCGTGTCTGTCTTACCTCAGCTAGTCCCAGTTATGTGCTGGGCGCAGCAAGAATGCGATGTTTCCTCTCAACCTGTTGCTTTGAGTGTATTCCAGTCTTGTAGTTGCTTTGCCAGGCCCTGGTGTGTCGGAAGCATGTGCCTTAACAGCTGCACAGATACGGCTACGTGACAAACTCGAAGGTGAAGTTTGTTATGGTGGTGGATTCTTCAAACACAGCACTTCGAGACAATGAGATCCGCAGTGTAAGTGCAGGAAATCAGAGCACAACTTGCCACATCAGTGTTTTTGCTACTTCCGCTTATTCATAAAGTGCTGAGAAGCAAAAAAAAAAAAAAAAATTTAATTATACTACAATCCCATTTCAGATGTTCCGAAAGCTGCATAATTCATACACAGACATAATGTGTAACCCTTTTTATAACCCTGGGGACCGTATCCATTCCAGGTAAGTCAGCTGATCTTTATGATCTTTGTCATCTTTCTGGAACTTGCTGTGTACCTCTGATGTAATAGTTCCAAGAGCATAACCCCTGTGGTTGACCAGTTCAGATGTGCATGCTCTGACAGCCGAGATGGAGAACAGCTGTGTTGCCTTTGGACTATTGCTACATAACAGAAAACTCAGATAGGTCTCATAAGAAGTTACACTGAACTCTCACTCCCACCTCAGAACAAGCACTAGAAACATTATCTCAAGAAAATTAATTTCAGGGGGGGAAAAAATTTCTGTTTCATAGGTAAATAAGAAAATAAACATAGGTGAGTAGAGCAGGTTAAAGAGCGAACAACTGCACACGTCCATGGGCATTCAGCATGTGCAATTCCTCACTTGGGAGGGCCAGTGCCCCCCATTTCTCATCTGTCATCTCACAGGGAATTTTAATGTTGGGAGTTTCTATTGCCTAGGCAAGAATAACTTTTACATTGTGCTGAGGCAGGTCTACAGCCAGGATAAGACCTGTCCTTGCTTCAGCTTTAATTGAAGTCATTCATAAAGAGTAAAACTATGTATTCAGCTTAGGGAAAGCTAGTTTGTTAACCAGTAAGTGGCATCGCTAGCCACTGGTTTTGTTACAAGAGATCTGCTGTGCAGAACTAGCTGCTTCCTTTAATATTCAGTTTGTTCCCTTCTCTAGGGCTTTTGATAACATGGTGAACTCCATGATGATGCAGGTGTGCTGAGGCTCTGCCCCTTCTCATCCCAGTGCTGAGAACATTCCCCATGTACAGAAGTGTGCCTATGAAGTGATGTATATATTATCTCCAGTCTGTGTAATATTTTGAATTAATTCTATGTAAAATAAACTTGACACCTGTGAGGTTTGCATTCATTTCTACTCCAGACAACCTGAGCGTAGCACAGAAGTCACTGCTCAGCTTTACGCCTTCAGGTAACATGTGAGAGGCAGCTCTTCCTTCAGGAAGGTCAGCTGTGTCAGCTGGAGGTCTGTTCCCTACAGAAACATGTGCAGCTGTGCCCCTGTGCAGCTCAGATGTTTCTGGTGAAATGGGGCTTTGTGTGAAAACAGCAGTTCCTGCTGTGCTTGTGATTAGAGCAAGCACAGCTGCACAAGAGACAGCGAAGAGATTCTTATTAGGGTCAGCTTAGCTCTCAGTCAGCTGAGAGGCACAGTGACACTGTTCCTCAAGTGCTGGTGCTCCAGAGCAGTTCCTCTTGAACCAGGAGGAGCACACAGACAGCAGCAGCCCTTTTGCTCTGTGCCAGTCCCCTTCACTGCCGCTCAGGACTGGTCATTCTGACAAGGACAGTGCAAGTGATGCTTAATTCAAACATACGTGGGCTCCTCTGTTTTTCCTTAGCTGGGAGCACTCGGATCTGTATGTACTTACTCTGTTAGTTCTTGGAAACAGAAAACATTGCAAGTCAGTTTCTCTACAACTGCATGCACTGTTTCTGTGCTGGAGAAAGCTCCGGCCGACCACAAACAGCCCGTCTCCTCTCAAAACACTGCCTTGAACCTGATCAAGTCCTGCACTGCTCTTCCTGGGGAAGATCTTGGGGTGACTTGCATTCAACAGTGTTTGCTGTTATCATTTCACACCTGGTTCAGGCAGGCCAGGCACACTGCACAGCATTTCATCCCAGCTCCGGGAGCACAGGTAGTGCAGCTGGGATAAATCCACACCAGGAGATGAAGACGTCAGGACTGGACTGCACAGCTGCCTGGCTCCTTCCCAAGCTCTAGCATCTCCTCCCCCTGCAGCTCCCTGCTAGTCTAATTAAAAACCACCAAATCAATAACAGGTATTTATATTAAAAAAATACAAACCCGACTAGAAAAGCATCACAGCTTCCTGATCACTTGTGCAGGTCGCTCGCACTACGCGCAGCTGTGCAGCTACAGGAAATTCAGCAGAGGTAATGCAGGCAGGTGTAAACACTGAGCAGCTACTCAGTGCTTTCCACACACCTCTACTCCAAGTCTTTCCTGCCCCACAGGCAGCAGTTAAGCACCTAATCAGTTAAAAATACAGAGCTAAAAATAAATAAGTAAAAAAAAAATATATCTGCCCAGCTCCAAAGGATATAAGAAGCCTGGAGAAAGCCAGGTCAGCGCAGTGTCAGCTCACAGCCAGCACGGTCTCACTGCGGATGGAGTTCACACAGCAGGATCATTTATTTTAAAAATAAGTGACATTTACAATACTTTCTCAAACAGAACTTAAATAAATTTAATCAACAAGAACCTGTCAGATAACGGGAGGTGAAAGTGTTCAAGCCTCTCCCACCATCTAAACAAGGCACAGCCGTACGCTGCTATTCCAAAACATTTTCATATAAAAATCATCACTCTTCTCACTCACAGAGACAGGAGCTCAGCACTTCCTCATCCACAAGAGAGTCCAAGCACCCCTAAGTAGTTTTTGTTAAAAAAATTAAGTCTCAAGAACTTACAAAGCTACTAAATGAAAAGTTTAGCCCCAGGAAAAGCCAGTTTTACAGTCTAAGCCTGAAGGCAGCTTAGCAGCCAGCCTCAGCAGCACAGTCCACGCTGGGCAACGTGCAAAATCAACACAACAAAGAGTTAATGCCCCCAGCTTTAAAAAAAATACTGAGATCTTAAGTGAAAAAAAAAAGATCGGTGGGATTTTTAGCCTGGCAATGCCCCCTGAGCTGTGAAAAGCTGCTTTAGGAGTCAGTCGCATCTGTTGCATCTGGGTTAGAGGAATCCTAACCAAGGATCCTGAAAGATTAGTGTGAGAATTATGTAATAAAACAGATTTCAATGCAGAACCTCACAGAGTAACACTGTCTGCTGGTGTTCATAGCCTGCCTCTTCTAACACAAAGTTCTTCCTTTAAAAACGAGCGGTTTCAGAGCTCAAACACCAGCTCAGCAGGAAGGGAAGCGCCAGTTCCCCGGTACCCAGCTCCTGCGGCATGCTTTGGTCCTGACCCTTAGTTCAGCCGGGCTCACACCATCCCCAAACTGGGATCCAGAGCAGGAAAAAAATGGGGACAGGAGGAAAGAGGAAGATCAGACCACCTTTGCAGCAGTGGAGATGATTTTGTAATAATACCATTACTGCCAGAAATAAAGGAGAATGATGCGTTAGCAGCGCTCTTTGAGCCCTGTAGCTTTGGGCTAAAAGCAGGAGGGGGTTAGAGAGGGTTGCTGACTTCTGAAATAAAAGGGGGGAAAGGTTTTGGGACACCCAGAGATCTTGCTTCACCACCACAGAGCTAGAGAGGCTTCCAGAGAAACAGCGAGGGATGCCTTTTCCCTCCCCTGGCTGTTAGGTGTACAACAGCCCCAAACCACACAGCTGGGCTCCATCCTCTGCCCAAGAGCAAGCTCAGAAATCCACGCGGCTGGCAAAGGAAAAGCTCCCCAGCAGTCAGATCTGGAGCTGCAACCCATGGATTTGGGGAAGCAAAGAGTCTTTGGAAAGGTCTTTAGCATCTTCTGATGGGCGAGAGAAAGCAGCACCCAGGTCTCGCAGGAAGACGTGGCAGAGCTGAGGGTGGTTCCCAGGCTGAGCAGGACAGGTCTGCCCTCGTGGTGGGCACTTGGACACCTGGAACCAAACCAAACCCTCCCATACAGCCCTTTGCTATGGGATGAGGATGAGACTGATGGTGTGGGAGAGCTCTCCCATTCCCAGGACAGGGTGTTCTCTGGAATGAAAATGCAGTCCCCTGGGCAAAGGTGAGGTGAGGTGAGCCCCTCCTGGGATGCTGGCAGGGATCCAGCTGATGTGCAGGTGGAGTGGGTCCAGTCTTCCCTTGCCAGCAATCCTCATGGCCAGGCAGATGGTGTTTTAAAATTAATCTTTTTTTTTTTGGCTTGGGTAGGTGTATTTTTTAAATCTCTCCAATCCCATCTCTTCATTTCAGCCCCATCGGCATCACCAGGGCAGTCCAGTGCTTTCTAATACGGAAAATACCACGGCAGCAGCCTCGCCCGACCCCTAAACAAGAACAAAACCAGCATACGGACATTGAGATGCCAAAAATCACAGCTACCTGCCCCTCTGAGAACTGGGACTCACCCTCCTGCCCCAGCTAACCCAGACTGAGCCCCATGTACCCCCAAAGGACAGGGGAGCCCCAAAACCAGGCACAGCTCAGGGACCAGTCAGGCTGGGGGTGTGATGCCCACCCCCAAATCCCTGCAGGGATGGGGGGACAGCAGCAAGTTCCCAGGTGTTTGTTCCCCACCCCCAAAGCTCCTCTCCCCTTCCTCCTGCAACACCGAAGGGGCCAGGGCACCGTTGAAGCTAATCTGCAGTGAGCCCAGGGATGCAGGAGCAGCAGGAGGTGAGCTGGAGAATGGCTCCAGGGCTGCGCTGGGGATGTGAGGGATGCTGGGACAGCAGCAACGATGCATCTGCTGTGCTATCACTGACTGCTCACTTCGGTCCTTCCCCATCTCGGCTGCCCACCATCCCCCCAAGGTGCCCGTGTCCCAGCTGGAGCAGCCACCAGGCTCCTGCTGACCCCGCAGACACAGGGTGATGCTAACAGCACGTGACGGGCACGAGACATTTCTAGCACAGGTCTCCAGGAGGATAACTCCTGCCAGACACCATCCTCCCGTCCATGCCAGGGTGGGATTGCAAACCGAGAAGCTGAGCACAGTCAGAGCGAGGGGCAGTTATCCCCATCCTGGGGACACCCTGCTCCACAGGGATCTCCACCCAAGGAAACACCCCCACCCAGCCGCTCACCTGTACGTCCTCCCTCGCACCCTCGGGTGCTGCCCTCCGTAGTAGCCTCCGCGCTGGGCCAGCCCTCCCCGGGCTTGGAAGCGGCCCCGGTAGCCGCCCCGGTCGGTGGTGCTGATGCCCGGCATGTTGGTCCTCTTGGGAAGCACCTGGGAGGGATGGAGGGATGGAGGGATGGACTGACCGACCATCCCAGGGCCTCATCCAGCTCTTACCTTAATGACACGGCCCCTGAACATGCTCTCGTCCAGCTCCACTGCAGCCTTCACAGAGCTCTTCTCTTCAAACTCAATGTAGGCGTACCTGCATGGGGAGGGGGTGAGCAGAGACCCAGGGACACCCTGCTGCTCCCAAAGGCTGGGGAGCATCAGGCAGCACCCTCGACACCCCAACTGCAGCCCCCACATGGAGCACTTACCCTTTGGGATGCCCTGAGAACTTGTCACAGAGGATGGTCACTCGGTTGATCTGCCCGCAGCTGTTGAAGTGAGACTCCAGCTCCTCCGCCGTGCCCCCGTAGTCCACCTGCAAGGACAGCCCCTCCAGTGCAGGGCCACCCCCTCCAGCGCCCCCAGCCAGCCCCCCCCGGCTCGTGGGGCTGCATTCACACCCCATTGGGGGAGGCAGAGCATCCGGCTGACCCCAGTCACACCTTGCCCATGGCCTCATCATCTCCTGAGGTTCAGGAGACCCTCCCAGCTGGATGCTCCAGCCTGGAAACCCAAACCCAAGAGGCAGCCCCCCCACTTTGAGGGAACAAGCAACACCTGCAGCTTCCAGTGGGTTATTTCAGGGAGCTGACACTTCGAACAGATTATCTGCAAGTGGCTGAGGATCGTGAGCAGATGCTGAGCCACATTCCCAGGCTGGGCTGGGCAGAGGAGCAGCATTAGGGATGGGACCAGCCAGCCTTTGGTGGGGGGTGGATGGGCCCCCATGCTGGGGATCACAGACACATGTCTGGCTGAGCAAGGGCGCCTCTGCTCCGGGGTCTCCTGCTTACGTTGCCCACGTAGATGGATCGCTGGTCAACCTCCATCTTCTCCTCCGTCGTCTTTGGGAAGAGCCCTGCAGAGACAAGGGCTCGGGCTGGATGGAGGCACAGGAGCCCGCTACCAGAGGGACGTCTGTCCGTGCAGGTCTGCTCGCAGCACGGCCACCACCCAGCTGACACACTGCAAAGCTCCCTGGGTCCCTGGTCACGGCATTCCCAAATCCCCACACTGCTGCCTCCTCCTCCATCCCCTTGCCCCCTCTCTCTTAAAAAAAAACCAGCCCACAGGGTGGCTGCTCTGCTGGGGCTGGTGGTGCCAAACTTAACTACTTAACTGAACTTAATTTAATTAATTTACTGCACCTTGGCTTGCAAAGGTAGGAGGCAAGGGTGGATATAACCCACACTAGCACCGTGCCATGCCTGGGACCCCAGCCCTCACCCACCTTCCGTGTCCAGCTCCAGGCTGTCAGCTCTGATTGCCACCCTGTGCCCCAGAGATGTCCCTGGGGGGGGACAGAAGCACCCAGGGACAGCGCATACCTGCCTCCGAGCTCATGATGAGGCGGCTCTCAGCTTCCAGCTGCAACTCCTTCAGCCTCTCATCCTCCTTCTCCATCTCCCGCACTCTGGCTTTGATGGCCTCCAGCTCCTGAGACCCAAACCAAACCTCATCTGAGCAGCACGTGGAGCGGGGACACCCCCACCCCGCTCCCCACGCTGGGCTGGGACATTGTGGGGCTGCACATGCACCTTGCCCAGCAGTGCCCTCCCAGGCTGGGGACAAGGGGGGGGCTGGCTGCTGGGGACAACAGCCTAGCCCACAAAAGGGGAGCTCAGCTCCCAGCTCCACTGGGGAGAAAAAAAACCAGGTAAATATTTCCTCGCCCATGCTTGCTTATGAAGCAGCTTGTGCTGCAGCAGAGAGGTCCCAGCAGTGCCAGAGGGGCTGGGGAGAACTGGAGATTTAAGCTGGGGACAAACAGGAGCCACTGACTTTCACACAGACATCCCGGCAGTGAAAGCTAAGCAGCAAGCTAAGTAATTCAATTTCCAGCTTCTCAGCTCAAGGATTTTAACATCAGGGGCCCAAGATGATTCTTAATTTTTGGAGGCATTTGAAGAGAGGTGTAGAAAGTTTCCCATTTTCTTAGAGAAACAGGGAAAACTTATTCCATGCTCAGCCAGGCACTCACTGGGTCTGGCACAGCCAGCTCCTCCGCACTGTCCCCCTCCGGCTGGCTCACATCTGAGTCGTCATCTGCCACCTTCCGCAGAGCTGCCATCTCTGCAACGTCCCAGGACGCCTCCACTGCTGCCAGGGACGGCGGCTCCTGCCACCAGATCCCTGAAGTGTCCAGGAAGAGAGGACTGGGCAGGAACAGGGGCAAAAAAGCCATTTAACAAACAAACGGCCCTTTAGCATAGAACCTAAAGCAAAACATCAGCCAGGTGTTAAAGGCACTTCCAGCAGAAGGATGCACAGGTGCCACCAAAGTAGTTTGCCCTCGGTGCTGCAGGCAGGCTTGCAGCAAGACCCCAGAACTGCAGGAGGGAGGGCTACTGAAAGGTCTCCAGTTCATACTGAGCCACCTCCCAGTGCAGAGGGCTGCAGAGGGCTGCAGAGGGTACCTGGAAACAGCTTCCCTTGCGTGAAAAAAAACAGGCCCAAGCATCCCAGCCCGCTGTCAGGGAAAGGGAAGAGGAGGCAAGCCCTGCCCCAGCAGCAGAGCTCCCCCCCTGCACAGAGGGAGTGGCAGGGAGCCCTCCCTCACCCAAACAAAGGCAAACCTACCCCCTCCAGCCGTGGTTCGAGCCCACGGAGAGACAAACTCCCCCACCCCCGGGTGGAAACCTGGCCCTGCTCCCAAAGAGGGA